TTTTCTGTTGATGCCGACGACAAGGTGGCTGCTTGGTAGGCTGCTTTGGTATGTCTGCGTCTTGTGTCGCTCAGAAGTACGTGATACCTAGCCTGCTTCATGCGGCTTGCGCTCTCCGTCTACGCCAACATGTGGCATAGTGATCATGGTCAGCTGCTCTAGATAAACCGAATCTCACAGTGTGTTTGGTACTTGAATGCTTTTCAATAGACTGTGATGTGTTTTATGTGTTCTGGACGATTGGACACAACCTTGGCTTTACAGTGCGTCTTCCGTGTTCGCGCGACCCCATTATTACCCTACAGATTGTCTGCATGCCTTTACAGCTGGGTGCTGGAACGATGCGCAAACGCACAAACACGCGAACAACGTTTTGATGTCTTCAGATGACGGGCATGACGCTAACGTGATCTGCAACTGCTATAACTTGTCCGAGTATGGATGCGTTGTCGATGCGATGCTTCGCTCATTTAAGCTTTGGCCCAGCCCGGACCAAACTGGAATACAATCAACAATTCTCGGCCAGGGCACGATTCCACCTGCATCGCAACACGCGAACAACATCTGACGTCACACCAGCCCATGGCTTCCATGGTTTCCATGGCTTCCGTGCTTTCCAGCTGGGCACACAGTCCGCGTCCCCCTTAGTATCCTCAATCGCGCCCACACACATTGCTCACTCAGCATCCAATGCGTGACGCAGCCGCATACGACGAGTCCTTCGCGCCATGAACGTCGCCGCCCTACCTACCTCCATGTCATAGTAATGATGAGCAGCTATTGGCACTCGATTGCCTACTTCTTCCGCCTTCCCTTTCGCATCCAATGGCGGTATGGTATACCGCAAATTATCTATGACATGTTTACTGACTGGATCACAGCACTGCACTCGTGCAAATCCCGCGTTTTGTTCCCCTCTCCATCCTACACATCACGTCGCCTAAGGGGCCGCATCCATTTCTCGTAGCGCTTCCAAGTCGAAGAGGTAACCTCATCTATGTCTACGTCTTTGTGCCGCCGAAACCGGTCGATCTTGAGGGCAATGGCGATCAAGACAGGAAAGAGACTGGGAAATGGCGTGTGCCTGTGGTGCTGGACTTTCATGGTATGAAGCCCGGAATACGAGGTGCATAACGTCAGGGACACTCGAGGCTAACGGAACCAGGTGGAGGCTTCATAATGGGATCGCCGTTGGAACAAGCGCCGTACGCTTCAATGATGTCTCGCCAGCTCGGGGCCGTTGTCATCAGCGTGTCGTATCGTATAGGACCTTTCCATCAATTCCCTGCGGCAATCCACGACGCCGAAGACGTTCTATCAGCCATACTCGATACAAGTGGGGTTTCGAAGGCCGGCAAGGTCCTTAGGGAGGAAATTCAGCGGTACTACTCGATAATACGATCGGATGCGCTGGAAAACAAGAAGGAACCTACTGCTCCACACGTCGAGCACTGCGAGACCATCACTCTCGACTCTACACGTCTTGCAATCTCGGGCTTCTCAGCAGGAGGAAACATTGCTTTGAACATGGCTATATCAGTACCTCCGTGTCCTGAGCTTGGAATGTCGACTACACTAGGGCCTCACTCGCGCACCAATGGTCCTGCCCCTGCGGACACCATGTCCCCCAGATTGCCCGAAAACCGCAGAGCCACAATACTGGACGATCCTTTCGAGTCGTGGCCATCTCTCCTACCCCCACCCCAAGCACAGCCCCGCATGCTGCCACTTCTCTTGTTCTACCCTTCGCTAGACGCACGACTACTGCCACATGAGCGTCCCATGAAGCCTCTGCCCAACGCACTGAGACCTGACGATCACCATCAGCAGAAGCCGAAAGCACCAGGACTGTTTTCAATCATGGGTCCAACATATCTCCCGCGCAAGCTGCGACCACATCCACGAGCGAGCCCCGGCTTGAACGATCCTGTACACATCCAGAAAAACGCTGCCATTCTCCTCGTCTTGCCTGAAAAGGATAGCTTAGCAGTACAAAGCGATGTATGGGTAGACAAAATGAACAACAATGATTGGAATGGTCCTGTGCGCTTTGGCGACGGACGAGAGGGCGATTGGGACGGACACCAGGGCGGACAGGCTGGATCTTCCAACGTGTCCAGCACGCAGAACGGAGGCATGGAAGTTTGGCACGCGCCCGGCTGCAGACACGGCTGGACACAGTTTCCAGATACGTTTGTGCCTCAGCATGAGCGCAACGAGAGAGAACTGGTGTTTGCGAGGACATTGGACTTTGTCAGAGACAATTGGAAGAAGGAGCTGCAAGTGGAGGGGAGACAACTAGGGAATCAGATTCAAGAGTTGAGGCCGTTGAGCATACCCAGTTCGGATGAGTCGTGTTAATGGAGTGTGTGTAGTAAAGTTGCTACAACCGCAGGGCCCTATTAAAATGCTTTACGAGCGATCAAACGGCAGTCATAGTCATTCAAGATAATCACCATCGCACACTACATGATATGAACAAATCTTATGGGTTAGGCAAAAGTGATGTAGTATTTTCCAACAGTGAGGATTGTTTGAGTTTGAATTCTAGCCATCGTATCTAGGGTGTAAGACATCCAGGCGACGCATATGAAATGGCTTCCTGAAGGTAAAAAAAAAGAGGTATTCAATGTGGTAGATTCCTTAAGCCTCGCGGCTCCAAGACCACCTACTTCATTACCAACGCGCTAGTTCGAAGCAGCGCCGGAAGATTACTCATGGAAGCCAGTCATGCGCAACAACCTCCATTTCTGTTCTCGGAGATTACAGTACCTACTCCACGTCTTCCCCAACCCCATAATCTGACACAAGTCCCCCAGACTATTCCCGAGTACGTGGCTTGGCTTTCGGTATTACTTGCAAATGATCCGCATCTATGAAACAGGCAGATGACTAGAGATGACCAGCCATGCCCAGGACTTGGCTGAAGCGAGGAAAGGTTATGTATTGCTTAGGCGCGCTTGGCTTGGATGGACGGGACGTTATTGTGCGATGGTAAGATTGAGGTGGTGTGCAGAGGTTGAAGTGTTAGATAGGGCTGTATGGAAGGTGTGGTAGGAGATGTCGGGTGATGTCAGATGAGTAGAAAGAGAAAAAAACGTAGACATGTGAAAGACTGCTTTTTGCATGTGGGTGTAGGATCGAGATCGAGTACAGATGAGTTGTTCACAGCATTCCGTCACCTAACGTTGCTATAACACCTATTGGCGCTTAACCGGACGTTAGCTTGTCAAAACGGCTCTTGCAGAAGGTGTACTCGAGTACGTTTGTAAGTGCGTCGCGACACGTCTCGGCCTCTAGTGTTTTGGCAAGTTTGAAGACAGCCAACCAGGCAAGTATGGCGCAAGTACCGCTCCACTGCCGAGTCAACTAGCAAGTGAGGGGAACTTTGGTGGCACCCAAGGTCCACCTTCGACACGTGGGGATCGAAAGCAACGACAAGTGTTTACGACGCCGTAGACCGATGAGGGGCGTATCGAGTGCTGACTATCACGCGCATATGCAAAGCGGCTATCGGCTTCGAGAACTACGTCATTGCGATAAGACAAGGATTATCTCAGAAGAAGACAGCAATGTTAGGCCTGACCGCAAGTAGCAAGCCGCGCCGGATGCCGGGTAATGCCTAAACTTCGTAACGTGGAGGGGTACTTGACAAGTATGCAACACACGTATAGAAGACACAGGACTTCCGCACTGGCGCGAAAACCGCGCGTGGGGGTAGTTGGTACTTGATATTGCGTGAAACTAGCCCGAGAGATTCTGGAGAGCATCACAGGGTTCGGCTGATTCCCCGCGTGCACAACGCCGGCGACTGGAACAAGCTTGATCTAAGCCGGCTGAGGCGCTTGCTGGCGAGATGGTGTAGGCGAGCATATTCGCTTTCAGCGAACGAAATCCCAGGCTTGATGGACCCTATTGCTGGGCACTGCGCACAAGGGCGCGGCGACGCACGAGCAGTATCTTGCAGATTAATGCAGGGCACGGTGGTTGAAACCGGTATCCCGTTGTTTTGAAGGCTTGAATGGCGTCGCCCCATAGACAGTCAGATGATGTACTACAGTGTAGACGCGTCCACCATGCTAGAACTAGGAGGTGAGGCGCAAAGTACGAGAAGCGGTCAAGTAGCGGTGAAGAGTTGAAGGAGAGAGATGAAGCAGCAAGTGGAGCTCTGGAGAGAGCTCTGGAGATGTGTCGAGAAGTGAGGCATTTGAGAAAAGGTAAGCTGCCGCGGTTCGGGTCGAGCTGAGCAGAGATGCATACAGCGCGTGCATGTGGTCGTGTTGCTTGCAGTAGGATGCATGCGACGTCGGACGGATGGTCGAAAGAAGGTGTGAGGCATGAGTATAGGCGTCGCTAGCGTGGCGTTATGGGCGGGATAGAGCGCTTCGAGGGGAAGTGGCCCTGAAGAGCTTCCTTCGCGTTGATCAGGGTCCTTGTTCCGAAGCATGCGGAATCAAGGATGTGGGCAATTCGATTGCGTCTTGCATCGGCTGTGCTGGAGCTGTCCACGGAGGGCCCTGGGAGACTGAAACCGGATTCTGGTGTGTTCTAGTCGCGGGCGACTATGACATGCTACCAGCACAGACAAAGAAGCCGACTCAACAAACAAAGTGTTTGATGAGTGGTAACGACGGGGCAGAGCAGAAATTGCCAATACTCACGGCCAAGCCCGCATCGCCTGGGTGCGGCAGCGTGAATTGAGCAGGAGCACGGGAGCAGGTGCATGCTTAGGCACTGCGCAATTGACAAAGGCCAAGCGTGGTATTGGCTGCGCTGTGCCTGGTGTCCGTGGGCACGAATTAAAATGCCGATTACCCACTGTTTCCTGCTTCTGCAAACCAAATCGTGCCGAGACGCCAGAGCGCATATCAAATTCCTCTCTCTCCTCTCTCCTACAAGTCAAGTCCCACCCGCCGCGCCACACTACTGTTGCAGCATTTCATGCGCAGCGTCGTCGTCTGACAGCAGACTCGGTCGTTGATCTACACACCCGCTAGCCATCACTTGTCAACGGGCTCATTCCTAGCCTGCGGCCCGTCGCCACACGTTGCGGTGGGTAACTCTCCCTCACCCTCACCAGGTACCCCTTCCCACTCGACACTGCCCGACGCTTGTCGCTTCTGACACGTCCTCAAGCCCGCCTTTAGTTCCATTCACGGTTCAATTTCACACTTGTCCGCCATGTTGCTGTCGACATTATAACACTTCGCCTCCCTTGGGGCCCCACCCTCGCACACAACTATCGATACAGCCAAGCAGTAATACGCCAGCACCGACTCCAATACCGAGACTTTCCAACGATCGACACAACACACCTCCTGGTCTAACTTGGCTCCAGGAACGCTGCGGCAGGTGCGTTGCGCCAAAAAGAAACAGCCTGGACGACGACAATATTTGCATTACGCCCCTACAACTTCACTATTACCGCATCACTCTTCGAACATCATTGCCCCATTCAACAATTGCATCTGTTCCTACTACTTCGCACCCACTCTGCGCACGTTCCACCATCGACACCCACCCGGCTGCAGAACACATGGCGAACGAGCAGGATTACATAGGTAGACAAGGCGCGTTGCGAACAGATACCCCGCAAAACATGTCAAATATCTCACCACCGCTCATGACGGCCGAGGACGAGGTTGTGGGCGACCTGGACGAGCCCCCTGAACCTCGCGCGCAGCGCCCTGCACCCTTGGCTCTTCGTCACTCCTCGACAACGTCCTTCACCAAGTCGAAACCTCTCTTCGATCGCAAGGAATCGCTTCTCACTTCGGCACTCAAGTCGGGCTCGAATGCGAGTTCGCCCGTCGAAGAACACTCGGATGCAAGCCCAGTCCGCGGCATGTCGTGCGTTTCGACATGGAGCAACAACAGCGGTACAGCTGATCTCACAAGCGACGGAGGCTTCACAAGCCCCGGCACACGGCCCTGCACACCGAGCCCACCACCCCCCTCGGGAGCGTTCCACAGCATGTTGCCTACGTTCAACAAGAAACCGTTGGAGCTACCAGTATCCGTTGTCTCGCACGATGATGAGAACGTCACTCCGGTACCAAAGACGGTGCCTCAAAGCACCGAGCAGAGCATTGAAGCCGTTTTGGGAAGAAAGAGGTGCATCATGTTTGCATGCGGCCCAAAGGAGGATAAGAAGCCAGTGGAGGCACCTACAAAGCCCGCACCTGCGCCTGCAACTCAAACCGGAGAACCTCCTAAGCGCGTCTGCACCATCAAGTTCGCGTGTCCATCTAAGCCATCCACAGAGGCATCCTCCAAGCCCAGGCGCATGGCCAGTCCCGCGCCACCACCACGCCGCATTCCTTCGTCTCCAAAGCCTGCCACCAAGGTGCATCGGGACTCGGACTCTACGGTTCGCAACAATTCTCCTGTCAGCGTTCGAAAGGTACGCCCGGTCGACCGAACTCGTCGTTTGAGTTCCAACTCCGACCTCGCTCGCTGCGAAGCATACCGCTTCCACGAGTTTGCTAGCTCGGAAGAGGAGGTTGAAGAATGGACCCAAGAAGTTACCTGCCACCGAAGCCGGCTTACGGTCCAGGATACTCTTAAGATCGAGAACAACCTGCGTAAGCTAGGCGAGGAGGTGGCAGAAGAAGAGGCGATCGACGAAGAAGACGAGGATGAGGACGAGGATGGGGACAATGTTGAAATGGACGACGACGACGATGATCTGCTTGACGAGGATGCGGACGGTAGCGACGCCTACAGCGACGCTACTGATGAAGGCTTTCAGACTGATGATGAGAACGGATTCGCCGTCTCAGATGACGAGGACGATGCTGGATCTGACTACGATTGGTGGGCACCCGGAGCATCAACCGCAGCGACATCTGTGGAGCACTTGGAACATCTTCGCCTAAAGACTCACCGAACGGTATCAGAATCGTCGATTGGATCCCTGGAAAGCCGCGAAGGTCTCAAGATCATGGATAAGCCTTCCAAGCGCAGAAAGTCGAAGCCGGTCAACATCCGTGTTCCCAGTCCCGAGCTGCCTGATAGTACCGACTTTGTTTGTGGTACTCTTGATGAGGATAGGCCTGCCGAAGCTGCGTACATGTCAACACTTGAGCGCCGGCGCGCAGCCAAGCACAAGCCAACGCCCCAGGACATCGACCCTACATTCCCAACGTCGGACCCCGAACTTCCTGACGATGACGAAGACGAGGTCTCCGAGAATGAGAAAGTTTCCGAGTCTGACCATCTTATGATCCATGGTCGCATGGACCCCGTGAATATTGATGGACGAGGGCGCCAGCATATCTCTAAGAAGCGCTCTCCCCTACCGTCACCTAAGCGCTTGCGATCACCTCCACCTGCAAAGCGTGCTGTGCACCGCTCGCCACCACCACGTAAGCTGTTTGGAAATTCTCCCAAGCGGCTACAATCTCCTCCGCCTCCAATGCGTCTCAGATCACCACCACCGACACGTCGCGGTTCCGTCAATCCTGTAACCACACGTCAACGCAGCGATACGTCGATACGCTTTGCTGGTATTGCCGAGCGCCCTGCACCTACAGTCTCAGCTTCCGTTCCTCGAACCCCCATCACTATGAGAAATCCATTCGATCTTGAGGATGATGAGGATGCTGATGCGTCAGATATGCCCATCCGCCGTGCCATTGACATCAAGGTCGGGCTCGAAAAGAAGAGGCAACGACGCAAGGAGAAGTTGTACCGTAAGCAACACCGCAAAGGCGCCAAAGAGAAGCGGCCCGCTCCCGGACGTGGTGCAGAACGCATGCGTGAGATGGGATTAGCGGTACACGCTCATAAAGGCAAGACGACTGTCTTCCAACCGTTCCGAATCTGCCCTGAGGCGGATGAAGACATGCATGTGCTGTCAGCGTGAGCGACAGTATGTATGTGAGGATCAGCGCCGCCGTATCTATCGGCACTTTACATGCTCCTGCAATATGTTGTAGGACTTGTTGGTCGCTAATCCCACATGTTCACAGGGTCAAGCTTGGCTGAGCAAGCACCCAACATTCACTTCTTCAGCCTTTGTTTTCCGTTACATACCTTTTATCTCGATTCTTCTTCAGGCTTCTCATGTACATAGCCTTTCGTCCATATTTTTGCCAATCAGTTCATTTTGACATTTAGTTTTGGCTTTTACCTTGCCGTTGTGCTTGTATATCTTTTAGTGTCTCTTTTGTCTTACTGCATCTAGGAGTAACGCTCAGCATTGATGGCCTCCCCGTACAGCGGGTCGAGCGCCTACAGGGAGTTGGTGGGTTAACCTGAATCTATCACACAGGATGCAACATCCTATTGTTGAATTGTACATGAACATGCAAGCAACGACCTCCTGTCTACAGTGCTCGATCTAACACACATTTTGGATCTACAGAGAAGAGAAAAAGCCTGCATTGCAAATTGACATGAAGTTATCGCAAGATCCACCTGGACTTCACGCGGCATGGTATAATGATGTAATACTCCACCACGGCAATTGTGAAGTGCAGAACTGCATCGCGCTACGGTGAAGCCACTAGCCACAGGTTGGACAACCAGGGACGGCCCACAAAGATGGATTGAGTTTCTGCTGCCGCAACTACACCAAGTACAAGAGCTAGAAATCTGTGTGTGCATGCGAACACATGGAGATGCCGCTGCTGCGAAGCTAAAAGCGCATGCATGCGCCCTGTGGCCAGAGTAACGATGATGTTTTTGACTATTGCATTTCCAAGAAGCGCGCTTAGGTGACATCAAGGAAATGCAGTGGGTCGCATGCCGCCTTACTAAATTGGGCTGGCAGCTGCTAGAGGCCGCGCGTGTTCAACAGTTCCAAGGATGTCGCACCGCACGAGGGATGGAGTGTCAGAATCGGACGTACAGACACAGTCGCAGGGAACGCCCGAGGCTGCGCAGCGAAGACGATGCTCGCCTATGTATCCCAGCAGACATGGGATTCTCATGCTGGATGCGATTCTCGTACTTGGTGCTGCGGTTACAGCCGAGATGCTTAAAAGCGACAAACAGTGGCGCACCCCTGTCCTATGCAAGCGTTGACCCTATATTTCCCGCCCACTGCACTCCGCAACGCCTCACCGTATCTCCAATGGGGGTAAACGTCTTGTCAACAAGCATGCCAAATCCACTGTGAAAGCGCTTTTGTCATCCCTCCCGCCGTCAGTCCCATTGTTGCCCCTCTTCTTTCCTCCGCCCGGGGCTTGGCTCTGCCTTCGATCCTTCACCTCCACCAGCCGCATCGCTGCTCGCCCTTCACTCTTCACCCAGTCCTCGTGTTCCCCTTCGCCTGTGCATATCTATCTGGTAGTGTCGCCATCCATGTCGCCCCCATCCACGCTTCGAAGCCTCCCAATTTCGATAATATAGACACCTGCGACCGACCACGTTCGCGCGTCTACGCTCTCGTCTCATCGTGTCTCGGTTTCGCGTCTCCCGGTTTCGGTTAGCACCAATGCTCATGAAGAAGATGTGGATAGTGGAGGAGCGGAAGGACAAGACCGTGTACCGTCGCCGCTGTCCCACCGGCGGAGAAGTCCTCTCCTTCTTCTTTGTCTCGGCATGCGCTCTGCTCTTCCTGCTCATCTGCACCATCCTCTACGGCACGCGCACACAGAACCCCTCCTTACCGCCGCTAGTCAAGGAGTACATGCCCGCAGGACGCTGTCTGTGCGAGTTCAGTACCACTTTCTCATGCGACACTTGTCTGGACTGTGCCTCCAACCAGGCCATTATCGCGACCAATGCAACAGAATTGGAGCAACATAATCTTTGGACTTTCACCTATCCGCGGGACAAGAATAACTATGGCCTGGATGAGGCCCAGTGCGACAGCGCTTTCCCCGGTCAGTACGAGGACATTGAGCGCGCGGTCAAAGTCAGGAACCGCTGGGGCAAGGTCACACAGGCGGATCTCAACAGTTTTGAACTCACAAAGGGCATGGTCAGGGCTATGATTTATGACCGAGAGGTAGGTTCTAGTGCAGTCTTGGCGATTATCTGGGGAATGCAGGGCCTATGCTGACATATGACACAGCTCTACGTCCTCGAAACTCACATGGTCGATAACGTCAACCGCCAAAAAGCCATTGCAACCCTCAGTGCCATCTATCGCGCCGTTCTCGCTGCCCCCTCAGCCGCCGATATTCCAAACATTGAGTTTGTCTTCTCTGTCGAAGACCTCCCTGCTCAGCCCGCGAAGCCAATATGGTCCCTTACCCGTCGTGTCCAAGATCACAACCTGTGGTTGATACCTGATTTTGGTTTTTGGAGCTGGGATATGCCTGCACTGGGTACGCTGGAAGAGGTTGCGCAAGAGGCTGTGCAGCGAGAAACCGTCGAGTCGTGGGATCAGAAAATTGAGAAGTTGGTCTGGAGAGGCAAGATTACCTTCGCGCCCAAACTGCGAAGAGCGCTGCTTGATGCTGCCAAGGGCAAACCATGGAGTGACGTCGGGCAACTCAAGTGGACAGATCCAAATTTCAAAGAGCAATTCTTGGGCCCAGTGGATCAGTGTAATTACATGTTCATTGCCCACGCTGAAGGTATGATGGTGTCTATCGGCATTAGTCAAAACGATGCTAACAGTCCTCACTAGGTCGTTCCTACTCTGGCTCCCTAAAGTACCGCCAGCTCTGCCGCTCCGTAATCGTCTCGCACAAACTGCAATGGATACAACATCACCACTACCTCTTCCGTTCTAACGGATCCAACCAAAACTTTGTCGAAGTAGAACGCGACTTCTCCGACCTTTCCTCCGCCATGGAAGACTTGCTAGACCACCCAGAAAAGGCAAAGCGCATTGCAGACAATTCGGTGCAAGTGTTCAGAGAGAGATATCTGACGCAAGCAGCTGAAGCATGTTATTGGCGCAAGCTGATGAAGCGGTGGAGAGATGTCGTGGACTGGGAACCACAACTATATGCCGGCGTCGGTGCTGAGGGCACAGACCGCAATAGGGAGAAGAGAAGGGGTGTTCGTTACGAGACGTTCATGTAAGTTCCTTCTACGCTACTGAGCAACTTATTCGAAGCTGGGACTAATCTTGTAACAACAGGCTTTATGAACCCAAAGTCCAGCTCAGCTACCCTGAGTCAGCCACTTGAGCGCCCCTCGTACGTATACATGTACAATCGACGTCTTCGTCAGACGACCTCAATCTCGTTTGGCGTATATATATGCAAGAAGAGTTGGAGAAATGCATTGTTATCTTCCGGAGTAATACGCGGGAACAAGCATGTGAAAGCGATTATACCCCCAATGAGCGTGTTTTTATTTTTGTTTGCATAGCAAAAGGGAAAGAAAGCTTACAGTGGAGGACATACTAAGAGAATCATGAGTGCGTATAGACATGTATATAAAGCGTGTAATAGGGCTGGTAAGGCCTGAACATATAATCATGTATGATCATAGATTTAGTTGTTGAGCAAACAGTCATGCGGTATAGTGCTAAACAGTCCAGTTTTTTGTGATAGAAAACCACAATGTATGAATGATAGTGTGGAACGAATGCACTTCCTCTGACTGTTCAATGAGTGCCAGAACGCTCAAGCAGTGGGCCATATGGAGCAGCATGGAATGCTTTGAACATATTTGAAATCATCTGATACCAACGATCTATCACCGACTTTCTCGCAAGAGGCGCCCACGCGCATTGTTTGCTGATGGTAGTTACCCTTTGTGGCAACCTTCGTCGTCTTTCACCTGGCGTTGTAGCCCTCTTAACCCTTATCGAAGAACAGACAACAGGCAGACTGAGACACCTCTATAGAAACGCACATGGGTGATGATGCTCTGCCGAATCCTCACAAAGGCTTCGGGGAGTGTACTACGCTCTGTTGACTCCTGTCAACGTGAGCGACAGACCTCGAAGACGATCGTGTGAATAACGAGGCTCTGCAGACATGTCTATCCGGAATCACAGCTGGGGTTGGTAGGTAGGAGTCGGATCGGGCGAGTTCTTTATCATGGTCCCTTCTTACAAGGGAAACCCGTCTGTGCAACTGCACCCTTGAGATGCCTTTCAATGAAGGTCTTTGATATGAACAATGTAGGACAAAGTAGTCGGAGCCGCGAGGCTGATCAAGGGTAGTCGATTGACAGGTTGTTCGTCGACGTTTCGAACTCGGCTGTCAAGGTCTTTTCATCTCCTTCCAATTTTATGCTTCCGACACGAGAGATGTATCTAGAACAACTGTTAGTGCACAGTTCCTTCAAGGCGAAATTGCAGCAGCTCACCTAGTCCATAGATAGTCTCCAACAAGGTAGATGATGAGGAGCAACATGAACAGCCCCAGCACGGTTCCGACATAATGCACCTCTACCTCCAGGCTCTTTTCGTAATCCCCCACGTGCTCAACCTCATCTCCGAACCCGCAGACAATTCTATTCTCATTCTGCACCTTCTTCGCCGGGTCCAATGGCCGTACCTGTCCCTCATGAACGCTCAAGAGGATACTAGTAGGCACAGGCTTGGGAAGTGCAAGAACTTTGGTCATGGCTTTCTTACTAGCGAACTGTATCTTGAGATCGTTGACGGTTGCGAGCGAGTAAGCCGTGTCCCAGTCGAGTGTGAGTAGTTCCTGGTAAGAGCAAAGCGTAGGTGCGGCACTTGTGGAGAAGGTGAGGCAGCGGCACTGTAGGTCTTCAAGACGGGGTTGCTTCGTTGGAGCAGCGATGACGCTAGCAAGGCCCACGAACGAGAGGAGTAGTTTGCTCTTGAAGAACATGGTTCTGGTATTTGGAGTTGAGGCGTGGAAGATGAGGAACTTCAACACTCGCGGGGCGGAATCTCACGATATAGTGACAGTCTGCTTTGGGTGGTGATTTGTAGTCTATCACTGGGATCTAGACCCTCGTTAGCGCGTTCACTCTCGTATG